ATTTGTATTTTTGTCTCAACCCAAGAACTATTGCAAGTCCCTTCTTTCATGTTCCATATGCCACTGCTGTGGCCTCTAAGACTGAAGCAACAGTCAGTCAGAGTTCTATTGTGCCTTGGCACTGCAGCTGGTGAGAGCCCTCTCTCTCCATATTCCAACTTCCATTGGTCTGGTAGAGAAGAGAAGGGAGAGAAGAGGAACCAGAATCTGGTGGATTTATTCCCCTCCCCCACTGCAATTCCCTTTGCCTTGTTTAGGCTTAAACCTGAGGGTGGGGAACTCTCAGATTAATGATTGATAGGCTGCCCTGGGAGTCTTTTTGGTTAAACAGCAGAGCATAAATTCTCTAAAAATACATACATGTTGCTCTGCTTCCCTGAACTGGAACTTGCACTGTGGACACATGGTGCCCACAGTTAAATGTCACATGGCATCATCAGAAAAGATGGATTATTTTCTCAGTGTCAGCATTTTGTACCAGCAAGACTTATTTCATCATTCTCAACATTTAGGAATGGTATCAGAACTGTTTTTTTATATGTAAGCTTGAATTGTGTCAATTAATCCTAACCAGAATCCTAATTATTAAATCAATTGCTGAATCGTAGATCTATCTTTATTTAAATCCAGCTGATTCAGAAGGTCTATTTTAGTTAGGTTTGTAAACAGGAGTCAAACCATACTATTCTTCCCACCTTTCGTTTTGCTATGTAATTAACATAATAGCCAAACTTGTATTTCTGCTGCTAGGTCAGATTGTCTCTTTCCATTCGTTTGTAAATACAATGACCCTGGCAGGCACCCTTCCTTAACTTTTTTTTCTTGTTTGCACATTGTCAGCTGGTTTGAAACAAGAAAGGAAGTAGGCTGTGCCATTTTGTGCAGAAGGCAGAGCAAACTCGGCAGCAGCCAGACATCAAATGATTCTTTTTTTTTTTCAGAAGAGCTGGTGATGGCTCTATCTTCTTCACCCTTTTGCTGAAGCTTGGTGTCAGGGCTGCCATGTCACCAAGCACTCATTGGAAGACCCTAATTATAATGGCTTCTCAGGGGGACAGATGGTAGGCTTGCTTCTCTCATCTCCCCAGTCATAGCCTGCATGACAACTCTAGGATTTCACTTTCAGAAAATTATAGAATTATCTCCAAAGTAAAATGGGGAGCTAGGATTGAGGGAATGATTTACCCAGATGTGGGACAAGGCAATAAGAAATGAAAACTATCTTGGGGTGCATAATGTGTGGTCCTGTAGATGTTCCTGAGCTGCAGCTCGTATCGGCCCTGGCAGACATAGCCAGCGGTTATAGTGAAGAATTATGGGCGTCGTAGTTAAGCAACATCTGGGTGGGTCTTACATTCCTCATCACAATTTCAGAAGATGGGCTGCATGTGTAGATTTTGGTGATAAGCTTCATAGATTAGCTTCCAGATATATTATTAGATTGCTTGGTGGTAAACACATGGGCATTATTATACAATCATATACACATATCAAGCAATCCAAGGGTGTTTTTAAACATTGTTGCCAGAGTCAAGGAGCTTCTGCAATGGGCATGTCTGGCATGTGTGCATGTGACTCATAGGCACTATACACTCAGAGGTAGCAGAGGGCATGCTTAACATGTTTTGAAGCAAGAAAAAAAGAGGAACTTTTATTTTTAAAATGTATTTTATTTTATTTTTATTACAATCAAGTTCCCCTTGGTAGACAGGTAATATGAAAATCAGACAAAATGTGGATATACAGTATGGGTGCCCAGTGAGGGAGATTCTGATATGTAAGCATTCTTTGAGCACTAGCAAAGTATAGGAATTTGAGCACTGGACTACAACTCACTGGGTGACCTTGGATAAGTAATGCTCTATTAACCTCAGAGGAAGGCAAACTCCCTCTGAGAATATCTTGGCAAGAAAACTCTGTGATAGGTTCACATTTGGATTTTTTTTTTAACTCTGAAGTTACTTGAAAGCATACAACAAACAACATTCTTTATTTTTAGCTGGGCCAGGGGAAGCCAAGAGACAGATCCTTCCTGTGAATCATGTACAAAAACAGGAAATAGGCTAAAAAATATAGTTCATCTACTTCTGCACCTACACTGCAGAATTAATGCAGTTTGACACCACTTTAATTGCCATGCCGCAATGCTATGGAATCATGGGAGTTGTAGTCTTACAAGGTTTTTAGCCCTCTCTGCCAAAAAGTACTGGTGTGCTCACATGAATCCACAACATTGAGCCACGGCAAAGTGGTGTCAAACTGCATTAATTTGACAGTGCTCTTCTGGATTGCTACAGAATATTTTGTAAATGTAATTCTATACTCTGCTTGGAAATAAATAATTTAGCTTTTGAAATATAGGTACATCTCACTTAACAAAGCCTCTAATACAGAAGCTTTTCTCCACAATGTCTTTTTATGCCTCTATCATTCTTTTCCTCCTTATTCTGGAGTTTTAAAGCAAATGTTACCATTAGGAGGATAGTGAGAGTAGGCTAGAGAAACAAAAAAAATCTGTTATCAGTTTGCAGCCATATACCTTCAGTAAACAATGTAATAAAGCTTCAGTTAATGGGATCCTACTCTAGCGATCCTAATATAGTTATGCCAGACTAGAACAGGCAAGGTAAACAACATGCCTTACAAACCATGCATGGACTGAACAGAAAGAAGAGCAGAAGGCAGATAATCCTGCCTCACTAGCTATTCCTAATATACTTAAAAGGCATAGATCTGAAAGTGCAGATCTGTAAGTACAGAGAATGGGGAAATGGGGGAAAAAATCCCTGGAAGTATCTTGGAAGAAACTTATAGTGTTTTCTACAGATCTGCAGTGTTTTTGTTTATTTTTGCAAGGCTTATCTGACTTGTGTTGTTTCACAAGTGCATATTCTCAGGTTTCTTGAAATGACTTTCTTTTTCGTGGCAAATTAACTTATCCAGTTCTTGCCATGTTATTTCTACTCTGGTATTAAATTTTCTGTTAAAGAGGAGAGATGCTCTTTAACATGCCTACTTCATTAACCAAGACATACCTGTATTATTTCACTCTGTATCACAAAATTGCAGGGAGGCAGAGGCCCCTTCTACACTGGCCTATATCCCAGAATTTGATCCCAGATTATCTTCTTTAAAGTGGATTTTATGATAAACAGATAATCTGGGATCAGATCCTGGGATATAGAAACAGTGTGGAAAGGGGCCTGAGGGTAAGAAGCAATTTAATCTCATATTAAATCATTCTCAATGGATCCCAATAGTTAAGTAGACAAGATTGCATTGTCAGTGATGAAATTGTTGCTGTTTATTCGTTCAGTCGCTCTTCATGACCTCATGGACCAGCCCATGCCAGAGCTTCCTGTTGGCCGTGGCCACCCCCAGCTCCTTCAAGGTCAAGTCAGTCACTTCGAGGATGCCATCCATCTTGCCTTTGGTCGACTCATCTTCCTTTTTCCTTCCTTTTTCACCAGCATCATTATCTTCCTCCAAGCTTTCCTGAGACCAAAGTACTTAATCTTTGCCTCTAATATCCTTCCCTCTGGTGAGCAGCCGCATATTATTTCCTGGTTTGATCTTCTTGCGGTCCAAGGCACTCTCAGAATTTTCCTCCAACACCACAGTTTAAAAACATCTCTCTTCCTTCACTCGGCCTTCCTTATGGTCCAGCTCTCACATCCATAGGTTAGGAGCCCCTGGGGGCGCAATGGGTTAAACCCTTGTGCCGGCAGGACTGAAGACCAACAGGTCGGAGGTTCAAATCCAGGGAGAGCACGGATGAGCTCCCTCTGTCAACTCCAGCTCCCCATGTGGGGACATGAGAGAAGCCTCCCACAAGGATGGTAAAACATGAAAACACTCAGGCATTCTTGCAGACAGCCAATTCTCTCACACCAGAAGCGACTTGCAGTTTCTCAAGTCACTCCTGACATGGAAAAAAAATCCATAGGCTACATTGCTTTGTGGATCTTTGTTGCCAGTGTGATGTCTCTGCATTTCATTTTTTTCTAAATTAATAACCTGCTATAGCGAAGATCGAAACGACAACCCTGACAGAGGGGAACACAAACCCACCACTGGACACTAGTGTGACAAAGATCAAGGCTATATTGGCAAGGGAGACAAGCAATCCATCCACTGCCCAACAGCTTACAGGGTGGACACTACATAAATAAAGTTAGTTAACTATAGCAAAGGGGGAAAGACTTTCTTATCCCACCTCAGTATTATATCTAATAAGTGACCAGCTATGATGTAGTTTTAGACCGATGTAATTAGTTAAAATCACTGCCACCACCTCAATTAAATGGGTCTGAGGAAAACCATATGTGTGAGTGTGAAAATAGGAAAAGTTGTATTCAAGCTCTCTGTTCTTCTTCAACCACTGCTACTTCTGCTGGCTGGACTGAAAGTAATCTTCTTTAAGTTAGCTGAGATGTAAAGATTATGATAGACTGAGGCAGACACCAATTTGAAAGTGAAATAAGAAACAGGTTTATTTTAGAACTAGATAAACAGATCAACTCTTAAAAAGAGTGGTACAATAATCTTGATGCAGTTCAGTTTCTTAATGCTTAGCTGGATAAACAGGCAGTTTTACTTAAAGGCTTCAACTTTTGTTTCTCAGTGAATTACTTGTCCTCACACTGATCACCACTGACACAGTGTGTCTTTGGAGCACAGCACCCAAACTGCCTCCCAGAGCAAATCAGGCTTTCCTTTCACTGACCCTACTCAGTACAGTGAACCAGGATCCTTTGCCTATCCCTTGCTCTAATTCTCAAGGCTCACACAAAAGTTTTCCCTCCCTGCCTAAGATCTCAATAGCTCTCTCTCCCTAAAATATACTTCTTTTCTCCGCGATGTCTAAACTCCAACTCCCCAGTTTGTCAAATAAGCCAGCCTTTTTCCCCTCTAAATCCTAACTCCACCCCTGACTGTCCTAACCAATCAGGAGTTGGCTGACTCCTCCCTCCTGCCTCTGGCTCTCTTGCCAAACCCAGAACATGTCAGCTACTGACTTTCCAGGCTTTGGCCTTCCTGCCTAAAGGTCAGTTTGAATGTGTCCAGAGGAGGGCGACTAAAACGATCAAGGGTCTGGAGAACAAGCCCTATGAGGAGCGGCTTAAAAAGCTGGGCATGTTTCGCTGCAACACTTTTCTTTAGATGCATCAACACACTGTGGATTTAATGCAGTTTGACATCACTGCAACTGCCATCGTTCTAAGTTATGGAACCCTGGGATTTGTAGTTTGGTGAAGCACCCAATTCTTACGCAGGGAAGGCTCAAGACCTTGCAAAGCTGCAACTCCCATCCTTCATTTCCATTGAGTCATGGCGGTTCAAGTGAAATACACACTGTAGATCCTCCCTTTGTTGTGCTTTGCTGTCCTCCAAGAGCACAAATGTAGAATCATAGAATCCTAGAGTTGGAAGAGACCTCATGGGCCATCCAGTCCAACCCCATTCTGCAAAGAAGCAGGAATATTGCATTCAAATCACCCCTGACAGATGGCCATCCAGCCTCTGTTTCAAAGCTTCCAAAGAAGGAGTGATATCGAGCTCTTTTAGGGGGCCTCTCCAGGGAGGAGAGCCCAAAGACCGCATCAATGAGTCCTGGATACCTTGGTGAGCTTTCTGGAGGCCAATCCAAGAGCGCAGAAATATTTAAAAGAATTAATAAGCTCATCAGAGGCGGAAGAAGTCCAGCGATCGAGGTTTATTTGCGATTCAGCTGAAAAGGATGCATTACAGGAATCATTCCGCTGTAAAGCATGCAGTACAAGAATTTCCAGGCATTTTTATACAGTGTGAGACAAAGGAAAAGCAGTTTGAAAATCCCGCCCGCCCCCCTGTCAGCTGGCTTCACGCTGATTGGCTGAGGCTGGAACAGCTGGGAGGAGGTAATCCCGCCCTCCCCCGTCCGGAGCCAATGGGAGCGTTTCTCTGCCTCGGGAGGGCCAATGGGCGCCCTCTGCTCGCTTCCTAGGTCCTGGCCAATCAGGAGCGAGGAGGCGTGACAGCCGCGGACAATGGGGAAGAGATGATGGGATTTGGGATTTCCTGCCCGCAGGAATGCGGGCCATTGTCCTAGGTGATGTTTGTCAAACAAAGGCTTTCCTGTCCTTAATGGGTCTGGCAAGTGATATGAATAGCTGGGTCGAAATCGGACCGCCCGGAGGATCAACAATTTCTTGAGTGAATCAATCAGTCTTTTATTCCGAGGCTCTGCTGACCCTGCCCTCCTTCGTTGGCCCTGCTCCGAAGACGAAATTGGGGGGGCCAGCAGCATTGTCCATGCAGGATGGGTCAATCAATGGGTGATTTAGGGAAAAGAGGCTTGGGCTCTTTCCCCAGGCAGTTCCTGGCCACGCCGGTTTCTTGGGGTAAGGGGTCAAGGAGGGGAAGATACAGGGGAGTTCATTGAGGGATACATATTTCATAATTACAAAATACAGGCATCATCCATATCCAGGCATTTCATGTATCACAACCCACCACCCATCCCAACCCACATCCATAAGAAAATACTTTATTTTGTATTTCATTTTCATGAAAGGAAAGAAAGTCCAGAAATCTCAAAAGTCCAAACAGAGGGGCTTGGATGCAGGGGCCAGCCTATGGTTTAGGCTGGCCATTAGAAGATCAGTCCATTTTGGGGAACAGGAGCTGGAGCTGAAGGGGGGGCTACGTTCCACTGTCCCGTCCTTGGTGGAACTAGCGCTCCCAACCGGGGATCGGGCCTTCCCTGCCCGGTCCCCACTTCCAAGGCTTCCTCTTGGGCAATCGGGGTTGATTGCAGGCGGCGGGAACCATGCTGGAGCGAGCAGCGACGAGGGGAGTGAAGCAAGTGGCAAAAGCCGGCGAGTTTGACAATCAGCTGGTGGCTTGGCCGAATTTTAATGATTAAACAATAACAATTACTGTACAAATGCAGGAGTCCAAAATGAGAAAACCAAGATAGCAGTTAGTCTTAGAATTGAGTGTAGAAAAATATAAAATTTGAACGGCCCCGATCCGCCATGTTGTTGTTGTGGCGGATAAGGGGGCCATTAGGAAAACCTCCGTATCCACGATTTTAGCTAACGCAAATCCGGGGGCCTGGGGAGGCCAGGAAGGCGTCCTCAGTGAGCTCACGGTCTCCCAGAGCTCAGGAAAAGGTTTAGGGTGAGTTTAGAAAAGCTGCAGTCAGTAAAAAGACACAAAGTATCATGCGGAGAGGATTCAAAGTTTCAAAACTTAAGTGTTTTATTGAGGGATTGGTTACAAAGATAGGGAGAGGGGAAAGTGAAAGAAAACTTCGTGCAGTTCTTTGCTTTGAGCTGCTGGCTGGGGCGCGTTCCGTCAGTCGGACCCAACTTTGCTCTACGGAACTGCGGAACTCCCTGCTGCGCTTCAAACCAACTTGAAGGCGGGAGACTCCGCTACCTGGGGGGTCATCATTTCCCCACTCGGGGACTGAAAGAGGCGAAGCCTCTGCATAGTCCCCGCCCAAGCATTGTACCCAGCCAGAGGCAGCAGGGCCATCTGGCGAGATGGATCGGAACGCTTTCCCTTTTTGCAAATTTGGAACAGAGCGGGAACATGAGACCAGCAGCAGCTCAAAACCAAGAGAAAGACTACAAGACCCAAGAAAACTAGAAAGCCTTTTCTGAGCCAATCTAGGGAAGGAAGCCAGTCTGTCAAAAAGCTGAGGTCAAAGCCAATGGTCTCTTTAATGCCAGCTGCCAAATTATTCATTCCCTCTATGGCCTTTTGGACTACAGGGGTCCGGTCAGTCAGATTAAAGCAGCACATGTGGCGCACACTCTCACAGCCATAATGATTCTTTAACAACAAAAAATCTATGGCAGCACGATTGTCCAGCACGGCTTCTCTGAGCTCATGCATTTCAGTGGCTATGGAAGCCAGGGCCTGTGAGGTGTAATTGATGTTTTTGACCAGAGCGCAAGCCAGATGTTTAATGGCTCTGTAGTTCATGCCAGCTGCCACCCCAGGGGTGAACAGGGCAGTTGCTACAAATTGAGGAATGCCCTTGATGACCACAGAGGGATCACAATTTGGGTCCAAGTTTTGGATGGACCTTGCCTCCCTGGCCAATGAATGGGCCAGCTCAAGATCGCTTTTGGAAGGCATGAAAACGGACAGCCTACCCAAGGCGCAGTTCCCTATGGAGGAATTGGCTGGGAGATAACTATAGGCTGTCTGCCCACACAGGAAGAACCAACCTGGGGGCAAGACCAAATGGGCATTCATGTGAGGCAAGATCTCTATGGAAGAGCAATTTAGAGAATTGTCCTGAGTCAATTTTTGGCACTTCCCCACACACTTGGGAACTTTGAAGCAGTGGGGGGCATGGGGGCTATGTGCCAATTTGATAGCCACCATACCAGGTTCCCTTTCGCGAGAGGCCCTGCCCCATACGGACAAATCCCGGTAGGACATGGACTTGGAAGGGATATGTTGAAAAATGGTGTAATTTCGAAAAGTTTCCAGAGGTTCTGGAATTCCGATCAGGCACGAAGAGAAAACATCAGTGGCCGTCACTCCGCTTGACAGACAGAAATCAGAAACGTTGAGAACCCTAGATGCCAATTGTTGCCAAAAGTTGGCCTTGGTAGATAGCCAGTCCTCAATAACAGGGCCAGTGGCTATGTATTGAGGAAAAGAAACCATGCAGAGGGTTAGAAGGAAGTACATGCTGAAATTTTTGGACAGCGACATCCGTAATAAATTTGACTCACCGCTAGATGGCGCTGGCGTGGACAGTCCTCTGCTCCGCCGGCTTATAGCGAAAAGTGAAAGTAGGGTCAGATCGAGGTGAGGGAAGCCGCTGTCAGAATCAGCTGGGAGGCTCCTGACAGATGACGGGAGAGGCTGTCAAAGAACCCGGAAGTGAAAAAAAAACGGGTTCCCGTGGTGCCAGGACTACGAAATTTGGTGGGGACTTGCAGGGGGCTTTCTCTGCCCCAGCGCACGACGTCTTCTCCGTCTAGAGGCCCTAGAAGAGGGTGGGTCGGCTGGATCTCCCGGAGGGGGGTCTCCTGAAGGGGCTTTTCGAAACAAAAGCCTCAGATCCTCCACCGGCTCGACCTCCCACTGCCCGTCGGCTTCCTCTTCCTCGGCTGGCCCCACTTCTGGCTCTGGGGCCAACTTCAGCCGGGAATGATGGATCCAGGCACGGATGCCCTTGACTTTGGCAGCAGTGTGGGTGGTGAGGAGGATCTGGTGAGGTCCGACCCACCTCTCCGTTAATGCCTCAGGTTTGTAGGTTCTCACGAGGACCCAATCCCCAATGGAGAAGTTGTGCACGGGAGCATCCAAAGGGATAGGAAGACGAGACAGCAGGTACCTATTTAAAGAAGAAAGGACAGAAGTAAGAGATGACAGTCTTTGCCTGACGCTTTCAGATCCCACCTCATGCAGGTGATCAGCTTTCAGAGGAACCTGAGAAGAAGGGAAAGGCCTACCATAGAGGATCTCAAAGGGGCTTAGCTTCAGCTTTCCCCTGGGAGCAGCCCTAACTCGAGTGAGAGCAAGCGGGAGGGCATCTGGCCACGGCAAGCTCGCCTGCTGACAGATCTTAGCCAACTGTCTTTTGATGGTTTGGTTCATCCTCTCAACCTTGCCACTAGCTTCAGGATGCCAGCTGGTATGTAAGTCCCATCGGATCTGGAGGGCCTGGGCGACCTGTTGGGTGACCTTGGAGATGAAAGATGCTCCGTTATCTGAGGATAAACATGCAGGCAGTCCAAAACGGGGAATGATGTGGTTAAGGAGGGCATGGCTGACTTCCTTGGCAGCACAGGAATAGCAGGGGAAAGCTTCCGGCCAGCCACTATAACTGTCCACAAACACCAACAAGTACTTGTACTTTTTGCTAGGTGGCAGCTCAGCAAAATCCACCTGCCACACCTGCCCAGGCTGGAGGCCTGCCTTGAGATGCCCCACTTCTGGCTTCTTCTGGATCTTAGGATTGTTCTTGAGGCACAGGAGGCACCTTCTGCAGGCCCAGATGGACTGTTGGGCCATGCGAGGGCCGATGAAGAA